TTCACAACCCAGAGATAAAAAAACAGAGGTTATTCGTGCAAATACATATGGATATATGAAAATATCAAACAAAAGGGAAATAGAAATAGATAAACGAACTCACAAGCTCTCAGGAACAACGGATCTTCCGCCCACAATAATCCTCTTCCTCTATATTTGTTTTTTCTCCCGGGCGACGATGGGCAAATCAGTGAAAGAGAACGATATACAACTGTACATACACAAATATATTTTAGATAACGAACGTCGTTACAAATAATGGTTGGATGTCTGTTTTTGGCAATTGGTGTGGATGAACCGCCTCTCCCATTCACTGTAATCTGCACTCTGTAGTAAGAGAGAGTGTGAATTGAATTTCGGAGAATCAAATGAAGCCCTCTGCCCAAGGAATGAAGCCTTGCCCTCTTAGTCTTAGATGGTTTGTCAAGCCAGTATTATGACTGAGATTTGAGATTGGGGAAAGATTTGAGATGGATTCCATATGATAGAGGTGTGATATATTGGGAGAGATTTGAGATGGATTCCATGTGATAGAGGCGTGAGAGAGTGGGAGAGGTAGAAGTGGGAGATAGAGAGAGGCGTGAAAGAGAGGCTTCTTCATGGGCGAGAAAACAAAGTTCGGAACTAATTGTAGACCGTTAAATCAAAATTTTTGAGATGATTTGAACCGTTTTTTATATTGGAATTACGTTGTTCGTTAGATATATTTATGTTTTGTCTCAAAACAATCTAAATCACTCTTTATCTCTTTGATTCAAACTTCATTCTACTTTATTATATAGATATATATCACGAGTTTAGTGTGGTGAGGCAACGGCGGGGTTTCAGTCCATCCCGTCTTTATCTACGCATAGATTTATACGAGTATTCTCATGTACATCTACCGTCCAATACGTATGGTTTATCTCCGGTTCAAACAGATGCGAGTTTGGACGAATACCTTTTTTCTCAGTCCACTGTCATCCCTAACCAAGTACAACCAGAAGGAGAATCGCTTAGATCGCCCGTAGAAGTCCTGAAGAGGATTAACATTGCAAGCTCGGGATAGTTGGCTAAACTGATCTCCTATATGCATGAGCTAGCTTCAACAAGGAAAGTTCATCCTAAAAGTACACTCAACAGGTGATAGGCTCTGCCATATGTATGCAAGATCATCACATGTCCAGGTTGGAAGATATGTCATATTGTTACCATAACACGTTCTAAAAGGTCACATCAATCCTAAATAATGTAGCCTTTAATAGCCTAGGAAATATAGACTTGAGTGGCTCATATATTCCCTAAACGAAATCATAACAAACTAGGGAGGGACCGCTTAATGGTGACGCACCATCTCTTATGTATACCAAGGTCCTTACTTATGAGAGGGCATAGGAGAAATACTATAACTGACGCTCCTTCTCCAAGTAATACACAATTTCTCTAAAAACAAAAAACTCTATTAGAGTGGATTAGTCAAGCTTCATAACTGGTGAACCACTACAATACTTGTATTCTTGTTAATTCTCCAGCTCGATCTCTAGTTCTATATTTACTATAGTACCAGCTACAACCACTAGGCTCTATCCCAATTTCGTCACCTTCATTCACACATTCACTAAACTAGCAACCCCAAACCTTGAACTCTTTACTTCAAACATCTAGCTCACATTTCTGAATCCCAACACCATCAATGGCTATTTCACCTGTTTTCTCACCCTCTTCACGTCTCCATGTTGATAAAGATGCTGAATGGGGAGACATAAATGGTAGTGGAAATGTCATTGAAAGGAGAAATCAACAATTATGGATGGCTCAAAGTGTGATGGTGTTAATTCTGATTATGCACCATCTGATGACATGAAGATGTGAAGAAGGCGGGAAAGTAGACAAAATGACCATAATACCCCTCACGTGACTCTCACGTATTGTTTTCTGTCAACCATTTAGACGAAAGTTAATGCTAGGGACGAAATTGGTCAAATGTGTAAAAGTTGGGGACTAAATTGGTGAAATTGGAACTTTAGGAACCAAAGTTCTACAAATGGCAAACCTCATAGACCAATAGTACAATTTACCCTTAAATAATATTACTAAAATTAGAATTTCCTAAGTATGATTTGAAAGAATTTTTTTTTTTTTTAATTTGAAAGAATTAGTAATCTCTTTTGGTGTTTCAATGATTGGATTAAGAAAAACTTAGTAGGAAAGTAAACTATCCGACCCAAGGTTTGCTGGCTGCCTCATTCGCCTACAGAGACTGAGTTCATAATTAGAAAATAGGGTTAGTCGATGCTCCCAAAAAATTATTTCCAGTTATTATATCTCTTTTTAATCAAATCACAACATGACACCTTTAGGGTTTTTTAATTATATTATATTATTTTTTTTCTTTTTACTACCATAATTAATGTGTATATACGGGATTATGCGTAAGATTTCAATTTGAAATTCAAACTTGAAAACAAATCAAACTTTAGATATAGTGTTACATATGCATCGTCATTTATACTTTAAAATATAATTATTGAGCTTTTCCTAGCTACGAGAGTAAGTCTCCCCCTATCTTAGTAATGTCCTATTTTGTGTTTTTTAATTTTACTTAAATGACAATATTTTTAGTAAAGAAAAAAGTAGTATTATTACAGATAAAATCTCTATATCTATATATTGGGGGATTATATGATGAGACATCAATCTTTCATCTCTAAGTTTTTTTTAATTTTCAATGATTAAAATTATTTAAAACCTTACATAGCCTTCTCGCTATTAATCCATTTTAAAATCTCATAGAAAAGTAATTCCTTTGGGATATGGGAACAACTTAAATATTTTTTGGGGAATGATATCTCTTGTACTTGTTTTTCTTTAGAATATTCTTAATATTAATATTATTACTCTTTTGTATTGAACCATCTAACTCCAATGGGTCGAAGGGATTGAGAGTTTAATTTTATTTTTTTTAACAGTGAATAGTGTTCAGGTCAGTTTACACGTATTTTAATTATTTTTTCTCTGATTTGATTATAAATAAATTATTCATATCAAAATTAGGATATTAATGAATATCAATCATGGATGTAAATACCTTTCGATATTTTTTTTTTAATGTTTCTAGATGGCATAAATTGGTAGAAGACGCACTCAACCAAATCAAGGACAGAACTTTTAGGCAACACCAAAACAATTTTTTTTTTTTTTTTGGGGGAGGGGGGATAAAACAACACCAAAACAATTCTCATCGTCTTTCTTTTAACTCAGGAGGTAAAAAAAATATCGTATTCGGGTTGGGACGTTGACTTTTACATGCTGCCACTGGGATAAAATTTTTAGTAATTTGAGAAGTTTAAATGATAACAGAGACGAGTTTTAAATATAAATATCTTAGGGTTCGAATCTTGATAATTTTTTGGGTTTAAGTCATAATGAATTTATCTCTCATAAATATCTTAATCCCTACGTGGATGACTTGTCTTTGACTGAACTAAGGAAGAAATTAGTCGAAGTATACGTAAACTGACCCAGAGATGTCTGACCATTAAACTAAAAAACAAAAAAAAAAAATTGGTAAACTTCAATTACATACCACTCCATGGTTTAAATATAACACAGGAATCCCAACAAAAAGTTTTGGACAAACTTTACTTTAATCCCTTGTGATGTGCCCCTTATACACAGAACGTCCATGACATTTAAAATTGTCACCTAACCATCATGTGATTTGTGAGCCAAAATGCAACACTAACTCCATTAAAGATAAATATGAAATAATCTAAATTTATATATCTATCACCCTCTTTTATCTTCTTTACAGCTTTAGCAATCATATCTTTAATGCAATGTTCACCTAAAGAGTGCAACTTAGAAAGATCAACGCCAACGGAAATCATTCTAAAACTTATTACATAAGACTGACAAAATATGATATAATTTATTAACACGATACGAAATTAGAGAGTTTGAAGTTGCTTTAAGCCTCCTATTTTGTAAACATATGAACCCGACACAACACAATTAATATACAAATGGGGTATGGGTAAAACTAATAAAAAAAAATACACGATACGATTAATGTATACATTAGTTATATATAATTTATACACAATACGAACTCGATATAACACAAATGAATGAATGAATCGAGTATAGTTAGAATTTTTTTGCTAAGACCAGGCATGGAGACAATTAGTAGGCCTAGTTTTATACATGAATCACAAATTTTAGTGCTCGGTTTGATTTGGACAAAAAATCTCGTGCTCGGTCTAACTTGGACAAAATATCTCTTACCCTGGCTGCGAACTTGATTCAATCCAAACCAGCCACAAATTTCAAACCAAGATGTACGTCTCGAATTAAACAATCTCAACCTGAAATTTAAACTCAAATTTGCCTCTAATTGTATACTCCTGATTCAAGCATGCACATATTTCTCAGTTTGAAAAGTTTTCTCAGCTTGAAAAGTTCGTGTCCAATTCGAGTTGAAGTCAAATTTCTACTTTCTGCAGCCCACTCTATGTAAGAATCTCATGCCAAAAGCAAAGAAATCCCTGTTAACGTGGACATTACAAATCACAGAAGGGATGGGTTTCTCATGTTTTACTGTGGACTCAATTTTAAACCACATTATCAACGAGTTTTTACTTTAATAGTACTGCTTAATTTGTAAAGACTTTATATTCTTTATATCAAGAGTTCAATCCCCCTCCCCCTCCCCCTCCCCCTCCCCATCCCAAAAAAATAAAAATTTTTAAACCCCATTGTTTTTTTTTTTTTAAGACTTGCGCCGACGTCTACTCCTTTGAACTCTGGGCTGATTATCATAACTCAAGTTAATTTAAAAACATAACTTCTGAAGAATAAGAATAGCCGACCTTAAAATTTGTAAGAAATATTGAATCCTTAAGAGTGATCAAGCCCCCACAACTATGAGAGAATGAAAAAACCAACTTGCTTACCAATGGATGGCTCATAAATCATGCTTTCCCAATGAAGTCCAAAAGCTTATGGTCCAAACAGGGTTTCAATCAGTTGGATGTTTTTTCATTACACTCCTAAAGTCCTACTATACACCTCCACAGGACCACAACTAACCAATTGGTCCTGTACATCATCGTCACACAACCACGCAGGAGTCTTCAAAAAGTCCTAACTTTTAATAGAAAAGCTAACATATAAATACACATTGACCCTCTTACATTCACCCCTGAAAATTACAAGATTCAACCCAACTTTTTAATAGAAAAGCTAACATATGAATTAACATTGACCCCCTTAGATTCACCCCTGAAAATTACAAGATTCAACCCAAAAAAAGAAGAATATACAACTAAACCTCAAAAAAAAGAAGCTAAATCCTTAAAAGGGTTTATTTTATAAAATGAAGGTGATCATAGGTTAAATAAAAAAAAAAAAAAAAAAAAGGGAGACACTTGGGAGTGGTGGGTCTCACTCACTAAGGCACTCAGCTCAGCACAGACCACTATGGCTAGGGTTTGGCAGGCTAGAACCAAGTTGAACCAACCCCCCACTATCTCTACCAACTTAGTCAACTCAGCTAGTAGCTGAGTTTCCAGGCCGAGGTTGAAATGAGTGGCCTTGTGTGCCAACCCAACATTAAACACCCACCATTCTCTTCCACCCTGTACCCTTCACCCCCATTAAACAAAGCTAACAACATGCTAGCCTGCTTAAACGCGTTAGACCCCAAATTAACCGGCCCAAACCCGGCCGAGTTAAACCGGATTCGCCACTGAGCCAAAGTCTCATGCCTCTCAACCCGGTCCACTCCCTCACAAGCCACCACATTGAAGATCTGTCTACCCAGGTACTCTTCAGACCTTGCCCTATCTTGACTAGTCACCGGAGACACTAACCCAACACCACCACCGCCGCCACCGCCACCGCCACCGCCACCGCCACCGCCACCGCCACCGCTCTCCAATGAATCGAACAAAGTCGAATAATAATGCAAAGACTCAATGAACCGGTCTAAGAACCAAGTTCCATTGTGATTAGCCTCTTGCTCCACCACAGTCAATATTGCCGGCTTCAATTCTCTCACCACGCCTAAAACTTTCTCAATAGCCCCTGGCCTAGCCAATAATTGGTGCAATTCAAACACAGAATTCACAGCAACAACCTCATCTTCTCTAACATCAAACATTGATGCTTCAAGATCAGCCAAACTGTTAGCAACAAAACCTCTGTATTCAAACTTCACAAGAACTGTCTCGGCCAATTGAGCTAGTTTCCAACCCACTTCTTGTAAATGGTCTCTATTATCATGAGACGGCGGTCCGATTCCGGTCAATCGGAAACTGGGTGGACCGCCAGGCCTCAGAGCCAAAGCTTGAATCAAAGCAGGCCATTGCATACCCTGTTTCATACTGAAATCAATCACATGAACTCGATTTTTGTTCGCAAAGGCCTCCAAGATTGCTTGATTCGCTGTGAAGTGGGCAAATTTGAGGTACGGACAGGACTCGTAGAAGTGAATTTGAAGGTCTGAGAAGGCTGAGTCGTGTGGGTTTTGTGGGTACAAAGGACAGATTCTTCTGGCCAAAGCTTCGGCGAAATATATGGCGACCTTCCTCATAGCTCCGGCTTGTGAGACGGCCAAGAATCGGATTTGTTTGACAAGGGCTTCGGCGAGTTTGAGGTTGTTTTGTTGGGTAGCTTCCGCACAGGCCATCAGGGCGAGAACGAGTCGAATACCGTTCTCTTGTGAGTTAACCAGGACAACTGAGAGAGTCGGTTCAATTGATCTGTACGCAGACTTGTTTGGACACCCCCAAACACCAACCGAGGTTGAAGATGATGATTCAGAAGAGGGTTTCAACTTTTTGTTCGGGGGTTGATACTGTTGCTGTGGAGGTAAAACTTGGGGGTAAATAGCCTTACCAGGAATCGCTTTCAGATCATAATCTGACGAAGCATCCTCGTAGATTTGAACTGAGTTCTGACTCGGTTGCTTGTAAATACTTTGATCTTGATCTTGGAGATTGTTACTAATTGTTGTAATACTTGAAGATTCGGCAAAAGGGTCTTGAATCGAGGATGATGAGTCGAAATTGGGAAGTGGGTTGAGCTCAGAGATCATTGACTCGAGCCAAGAAGATAGATCTGAAGGGTTGTAATGAACAGTTTCAGAAGCGAGATAGGATAATCCATCTTCTTGAACACTACCCATTACTTCTTGGAGCTGTTCAAGCTTCAGAGCCACATCCGCCATGTCTGATGATTTCACTTTGTAGCCCAAACCAGCTAAGAGTTCGTCCATTCCGGCGTCTTGTTCACTCTCCTCCCACATCTTACATTTCCCGTGTGTCGTTGACATCGAGAAATTTCCAACGCTACCACTAGATCCACCGCCTACGGAGGAGCTGCTTGTGGCGCCACCAACGCCGCTCGAGAAACTTTCCTGACGAAGGTTTGCGTGGTCCCGTTTCATTTCTCTCTCTGTTTTCAAATTTTTTGGGGTGGAGGGTTGTGGAAGTTGGGGAAGTTGGGAAACACAGAGGAGTCAATGGGTGAAGAATCTGGGAATTGGAGATTGGATGCGTGGTGCTTGGCTTTTCACAACTCTTGAGTTATTTGTTGGTCAGAGAGAGAGAGAGAATAAAGAGAAAATACTACAATAGCATAGAGTACGAGTGTACTGGGAGGAACAGAGCAATAAGAAACGCTCGTGAAGAGGCTCGGGTTCCAAAGATCCACGACAACAATAGCAACAGCTCAGAGAAAATATTCAATGCAAACCAATCAATTATCTGTATATAAAAATGTATGTAGGATTAATATATCTCACTAAATTATATAATTTTTAAATTCAATAATTATCATCCTGTAAAATTATTAGACTTCACTTGTTCTATAATTTTTTATGTCTTTTCCAACATAATTCGATTACTAAGCTTGTGCAGCAAGGGGTTCATTCAATTTTGATATGCAGTGTACTTAGATGAGTTTTGACATAAAGGAAGGCATCTTGTTATAAAGGAGTGGATTTTAAATATAAAAAAATTTATGGTGCCTTTGGGTCGCCGCATGTGCACATCAACTAATTTTTTAATAATATTACACTAATTAAATTTTGGTATCAAATTTAAAATTCACATGACATGACAGCATATTATTTAAAGTCTTTATTATGACCAAAAATGGCATAACACTAAATAAAGAAATTCAAATCAGTTGCTATATCATTTATTCTCTAAATTTAGTCAGTATAGCATTACTGCTAATTTTCTCTCTGATTAAGTAAAAGGTAAGATATCTACATCAAGACTAGAAAATTCGTAAAAGATAAATCATCCAACCTCAAGAGAGTAGTCGAGAGTTTTTAAATTTTAAACTCAAAATATCTAAGTTTAGAAGTCATATTTGTCTGCGCTTCACTACCTCCGATGAGTATTTTATGGAGAAACATAAGGCAGTGGATACTTGCAAATTAGGTAAGGAACGATAAACTTTGATCAATAGTTGTAAAAAAATGGTTTTGTGGCACTCAAAATTGGCTGTACAATTTTATACCATAGTCTTACTCATTAAAAAAAACGTTAATTACTTTTACTTCAACGTGATTTCGGTTAAAAGTACATTATTTACTTGACGTTTAAAATTATACACATTACTCCCTTGAACTTATGTGTCAAAATAAAATAATTACTTTTATCATTCAAGTTAACGGCGAGCGTAGTTCACATGCCCAAAACATGTTGTGGGTTTTGTTTCTATTGTGTCCCTCTAAAAGAATATTGTTTAAATACCTAAAATATTCTCTATAATATATGATATAATACCCAAATAAGTAAGCCATCAATTTCAAACCAAAAAACATGTAAAAAAAATTGTAAGTGATTTTTATCTCAGGATCAAAACCTCACTTTGGAGAAAAAGAGACTCATCATATTTAATTGAAATATGTTAGTTTGTTATTATGTTCCATTAATTTTATAGTCAAAAGTAAATCAAATGAAAATTTTGATTTTAAAACGTGAGTATTATGATAATTTTTTAATTCTATTAACAACGTCAATTATTTCACTTTTTGGTACAAAATTATAAGAAATAATGCATAAAATTTTAAATATCAATTAGATAAGATTCTTTTAACCGAAATTACATGGCGTAAAAAATAATTAATCATAAAAAAAATGTCTGAATAAGGTCAACACCTCTCGAAAGTACCGGTGAGCTTCAAATATGTACTAAATGTGGTATGTTTTTGCGCACATGCACATTTGAAGGTGCATTTTGGTCTTTGGATACCAAAATAAGGATTTGACTATGGTACTAAATAAAAAAATTTGGTACTGTAACTTCAAATTTTATTATTTTAATAAATATTTTTATAATTTTTGTAGATCATTTTAAAACAAAAAAAATTTACCACTTGTATGGTTGATTTATCATATTTATGATACCACTGTTATAAGTGTTTTTATTACTGTGGTAATTATTTTTATTATTTTTTTTAGTTTCATAATAATAATAAAAATATTATAAAAGTCAAAAATGGTACCCAAATTTTTTTCTGATGCCATGGACAACTTCGCCAAAAATAACGAGACATTTTGGAATGATGGGAGGAGCATTTGGCGTAGCCCCACGTGCACATCGGCACATGAACTGTAGGGGTTGTTTGGTTGGCATGAAATTTAGGCGCATGAGACATTTTTTATTTTATTAGGTGAGAAAGAATAATATTTTTCGGTTGAATTTTTAACAAATTAAAAAGACGTGTAATTAATGTCAAACTTGAACATATCCATGTAATCAATCAAATGGCAACCAAGAATTTAGGTGCCGACCTTACTAGAAGTGACAAATTAGATGGGATCAACTATGACATGTGGCATCAAAAATATAATATCTATTGAATGAGCAAAAGCACCTGGAACACTTGACCAACTCAATGATCCAACTTGAGGATGGGTCCGTTGCCCAACACTGTGGAGACCTTGAGGCCTACCAGACTTCGGATAAGAAAGATCGTAGTGTTATACCATGCTTAGCAGCATACACAATGATCTTTTCAGGGAGTTTGAGATATACCCCATTGTCAAAGAATTGTGAGACCAGTTTAAATTTGCCCATGGTGTTACTTCGACCACTAGATTGAGGGCACTTATCCTTAAGTTTGAGACTTACAAAAACGATCTCTGACACACAATGAGTGCGCATTTAGGGTGGTGATATCTAATATGATTTGTGAGTTGATAGTTGTGAAGAATGAGTTCACTGATGAATAGCAGGTCCAAGTTGTTATTAGATCTCTGCCTGACTCTTGGACTCACATGAAACAAATCAAGACCTACAATTACTACATTAAGAATTTTGCTGACATCTCTCGTTATGTGGAGCTAGAGGTGAACCATGTCACTGCCCTTGTCGTCCAAGGTGGCAAACTCCATGATAGGCACAAAGGACAAAGCAAACGAGGTAGGAAGGATGGAGCTAGTTGGTTTAAACCCAAGGCAAGCAAGATAACCAAGCGTCGGAAAGGCAAGCGTGATGGGAAAAGAAACAAGAGCAAGATAAAGTGCTATAATTGTCGAATTCGCTTGCGAGAGAACTGAGCCAAAGAAGGTGCCCTTTACTTTTGATTCTCTTAATGCTTGTGCTTGTGTATGCACACATGTATTTGTTGCTCACACTTATTCTATGTGAATTTTTGATACGGAAACAACCAAACTTATTGCTCGAGATTGAGTAGGATTCGTAGATTATCTCCACATTCCAGCTAGCACCCAAAGAGTCTATATGGGAAATGGCGTTAGTGAAGAAATACTTGGAGTTGGTTTGTATCAACTCTTATTACACACTGGCTATACATTGCTTCTACACAATGTGCTTTATGCACCTGGAGTACAACATAATCTACTTTCAATTTTAACACGGCCAGCTTTAGGGTACTCTTTTAATTTTGATGGTGATAGGTTGGACATATTAGTAGATGATATTGTATTTGGACATGGTGTTCTTATGGATTGTTTCTTTAAAGTTGATAAGGTTGATTATGTTTTCTCATATTCTTATGTGGCTAATGTTGATAAAGATCTCAAATTTGTTATCTGGCATGCTATATTGGGACATATAGGACAAGATAGGATGACCGGATTAGATAGAGAAGGCTTTTTAGGCTCACTCGATAAAGTCAACTAACCAATATGTGAGTCTTATTTGGCTGATAAAGTATGCAGAAAGCTTGCAAGGCTACTAGAGCTACTCAACCGCTAGAGCTTATCCACTCTTATATTTATGGACCAATGAATGTGAAGGCACATCATGGTGCCTCTTATTTCCTTACCCTAATAGATGATTACACTCGATAGAGTTACATGTATTTGATTGCTCACCGACATAAAGTGTTGAATTGCTTCAACCGTTTATTGGCAGAGGTTGAGAATCAAATAGAAAATAATATAAAAGTTATTCACACAAACCACGCACATAAGTATTTATCTGATTAGTTTAAGGTTTTGTGTGAGGAAAAGGGGATACGCAGATAACTTAGTATTACTAGTACAAAAATGGTATAGTAAAGAGAAGAAATAGAACATTGTTGGATATGGTTAGGTCAATGATGTTGTTGGCCAACCTTTCAATATCTTTTTGGGGGATGCATTATTAACTACTGTCTATAATTAACTCGGTGCATTCTCAGTTAGTTCCTTCTACCTCATATGAGTTGTGCATGGCGAAAATCCTAATTTAGATCATTTTCATCTATAGGGTTCAGTTGGTTATGTGCATAATTCATCACATACGTATGAAAAGGTAGGCTATAGAGCTAGTAAACATATCTTTTTAAGGTATTCAAAGAGCTCAAAGGGATATGTGAAGTATGGTGAACACTCGAATGTAGGAATGACTGAAATGGAGTCGCGTGGTATCGATTTCATTGAGACGAATTTTCCTAGCATTAGTAAGAATCTTGACCTCTACGAATTGGAGGAACATGAAGATCTCATACCATCTCATGTGGTTAGTAAGGGTGATCTTCAACCTAGTAGGAGTGTACCACTAGATTCTCAAGTGCGTAGGGGCGAGCATGGACATATTCCCTGTTATCATTTTGAGGTTGAATGGGATGCATTCATGTGCTTCCCGATTGATAAGGAAGATCCTACTACTATTAAGAATGCACTTTCGTCATCTGCTATACTTGAGTGGTTAGCTGCTATGAATAATGAGATGAGCTCAATGGCTCAGAATAAGGTTTGAGAGTTAATTTACCTTCCGTCTGGGCATAAGACCATTGAAAACAAATAGGTCTTAAAAATTAAATGCAAGGTAGATGGTTCAATTGACAAGTATATGGCACGTCATGTGACGAAAGGTTATACCCAAAAGGAGGGTATAGAGTACGAAGAGACATTCTCCCTAGTAGTAAGATTTGCCTCTATTCGCCACATGCATGTTATTGTTGCACAACAGGATTTAGAACCTTTTCATATGAATGTTAAGACTACATTTCTCAATGGAGAACTAGATGAAGAGATATATTTTGATCAACTAATTGGTTTTGAGGTAAAGGGACAAGAGCGCAAAGTTTTCCAACTCAAACGTTGTATTTATGGCCTTAAGCAATCATCTAGGCGATGGCATTTATTGCTTCA